TTTCCTGTAGGAAGAAAGAATTTTGGGGGGATTTTTCCTTTCTTTTGACTCATATATTCTAGGATCCAAAAGGTGAATTTTCATATGAACTGTGTTCAAAACTGCCATAAATGAACATTTAAATGATACATTATGATACAGTTATGGATTTTCAGTATCATTTTTTGTTTTGTTTTTGAGATAGTCTTAGTGTGTAGTTCATGCTTGCCTTGAAGGTGCTGTGTAGCCCAGGCTGGCCTTGAACTCATGATCTTGCCTCAGCCTCTTGCCCCTTGTGATTACAGGCTCATAGCATCACATTTGGCTTTCAGTATCATTTTTCTTTTACTATATGTGATAACTTTGAGTGCTGTTTGGTCAAGGACTTAAACCCAGGCTTCTGCAAACTGGAATATTTTTTACTGTTCAAATGTTTAGAAATACACTAGACATGAATAAACCCTCCAGTATTTGTTGTTCGATATTCTTACTTTTTAAATCATTATTTCTTCTATTCCATGCTTCAGTTTTCTTTTTCTTTAGTATCACCTCCTTGGACTTGGAACACTCCTGTGTGGCTATATCTAGGTTTATTTTTTTATTAGTGTGTCTGCAGTACATAATGATTACATTCTGTGTGGAAAGTTAGTGCATGACATCAACCTGACATCTGTTTTCATCTGCATCTCCTCTCCTTCCTTCCCTCCATCTCTTGATCTTGATCTGTTTCTCATTTGAGAAAGATCTCCTTACTTCCTTCTCTTTTTTTAGGTACCAGTGATTGATTGAACTCATGACTTTGTGCTTGCCAGGCAGGTGCTGTGCAGCTGAGCTATATTCCTGGCCCTCCCTACTTCTTTTGTCTTACATTTTATTTTATATTTTGAGTTTCTTATATAGGAGAAACCATAATATTTAAGGTTGTGTCTGGTTTATTTTGTATAATGTTACAACCTCAACATGTATCTGTTTTCGTATACTTTTTGTGGTAAAATTGTATTCCATTGTGTATAAATCCCACATTTTCTTCATCCATTTCTCTGTTGATGGGCACAGGCCTCATTTAAGAGTTAGCTTTTTTATAAATTGTGCTGCTGTAAACATAGGTATGCATCTATCACTATGATTTATCTTTAATTCTTTTGGGAAGAAACCTAGAAGGGGAATACCTAGGTTGACAGGAGTAAATTCATCTTTTAATACATTCTCACTGGCTTGAACTACCAGTGGTACATTCATGATTGTCCCGTGCTAGCCATGCATGTACCAGTGGTGGTTCAGAGCCACACAGCACCAAGACACATGGACAGCCTTGGTGTGAAAGTGTTAAGTGTAGATTCATGTGATTGGCTTTCCCCTTATGACTTTTCAGCTCAGAATCAACCTCTCCATATATTTTCAAATGTTGTATAAAATTATGCTTTGACATCTCTGAGGGATCGTGGTGGCTGGGGAAGAGATTTTGTTTCTTAAGGCTAGCTAAATTCTGTTACGTTGTTTTTGTTCATTTGGTGCTGGGGATTGAAAGGGATTTCTAATTTCTAGAGATAGGCTCACATGACGAGTTGTTGACTGTCTTTCATATACAAAGCAATCCTGAGTTCACAGTCCATCTTCTCTTATCTTACATAGCAAGCCAGTATTTCTCTGGCCTGATCCAAGGACTTGGTACCAGACAACTAGAGACTAACCTGTCTTAATTACTGCTAATAGCTGAGACATAATACACGACACAGCTCAAAGGAGAAATTAATTTGGGCTCATGTTTTTAGTCTTTGGTCTGCCCATTCTGCAGAAATATCCATGGCTGTAGGAACCAGATGGAGGTAGGAGGAGCCTGGGAGAGAGGTATGCTTTCTCTTCCCACCAGGTACCAACTTACAATAGCACACTCGATGACTGAACTCACTAGTGGATGAATCCACTGGGAAGTACAGAACCTTCATGATCTTTCACTTTTCACATATATAAGAGTTGAAGACATCCCCAGATCTAAACCAGATTATACTCTTATAGCTCATAGCTTGCCAGCAGTATTAAACTTAGCTCATCTTGATCTTTTTTCTCCTACTTTCCATGCCTTTTCCATGGAAGATGTAACAAAAGTTCTTGACCACACCTTCTCTGGTTTCTTCTGCCTCCTGAACAAATTTAGTGCTTGCTTATATGACCACATGTATTTCTTGGAAAATGTTAAGCAGTTATTTCAGTTATATTGCCCTCTCAATTTTGTCATTAATTACCTCCATAAGCTAAAATTTTGTGGATACAGTTGAGACACTCCCACATATACACTATTTACCTCTTTTGTCATGCTTATCTGTTCATTTATACTGCTGTCTAAGGCTAATTACTTCAGTTCTTAATTTCTGCTCAGTGACTTGAGCATGGTAATGTATTGTTTTCATGTGACTTATACTTATTTTTTTCTTAACTGCTGTCAAAACCCAGGCTATACAAAAGAGCATTAATCTGTTTTATGCAGTCTGACCCATTTAGATTTGGCCATACTTAGTATGTCCTTATAATGTGTAAAACCTTTTTTATGTGTTATTGTGAACAGTTCACTGTAGTTAATAGGATAATAAAGCTTGTACTTCATGTTTCCAGTTATCATTGTAGCTTAACTGTACTCCTTTATGAACTAGTAAATTTTCTTTATGTAATATTTAAACATCAACTTTATTTTTAGGTTGATTTTGGTTTCTCTTAATTGTAATTGTACTGCCAGATACTGAGGTAGCAAGGTATTTGATCTGTCTGCTAGTTTCTTATGTTTGATAGGAAAATTTAGTATTTCACTTGTTCTCTTCACTGCTCCATAGTAAGGAACATAGTAAGCATTTATGTTGCATAATGTTTTTGCCTGCTATAACAATATTTGTGCTTGTGCTATATGAAATTTTACAATTGGTTTTCTGTGAAAGAGTAATGATTATATCAGTTATTTTTCAAGTTTTCATAGACCTTAACATTATTTTTTTGCATTAGCTGTGTTTCCTACAAGAAATTAAATTTCTTAATTTTTTTGTCAGTAATTGGCATGGAAGAAATGACCTTAGTCTGTTTAATACATGAATTAATTTATGCAGTTTATAACATGTTCCATGTCTGATTTTTTTGTCATGTCTAATCTTATTGGCCCTTAGATCTTTTTCTTCTAACCTCTCTATACTTGTGTTTAGTATGTCTTTCAAGTTATTTCATTGGTATATGTTCCTTACATACACTGTCTTCAGTCAAATGTACTTCTTCTGGTAGTGAAAGTGAATATTCTGGCTTGTTTGTGTGCTGTAACTTCTGTGTTTTATGACTGGCAAATTTTTAAAAAAATTTTATGCTTTGTTTCCTCATCACTTACCTTTTAAGTTCCTATTTACCTGTCTTGTCACTATAGCAAACTTCTTGGTGTAACATCAGAAACATAAACTTCAAGGTCAACATGTTTTCAAAATCCTGACACCTAGAGCAAGTTCACTTCTCAGTGCTTTTGTTTCTTTATCTTATAAATTAGGAATTATTAAGCTTGTTAGGGTCAGACAAAACCTAAGTAAAGAATCTTGGCTAATAATTGGCATTTAATTGTACATTTAAGTATCTGGTATTTAGTTTTAGTTTATACTCTCCAAGCTATACCATCTTTCAGAATTAATTACATGCCTTCAGTGGACTATCTTCTGATGAGATGATAATCATGTGCTGATGATTTGTCTTTGTTTTAAAACACTTAAAATGGGGGTGTGGTGGCACATACTGGTAATCTTGCACCCTGGGGTACCCAGCCAGGAAGATTCCAAGTTTGCACCTACCTTAAGAACTTAGTGAGACTATCTCACTTTAAAGTAATGGTTAAAACAAAAACAAACAAAACCTGGGAGTAATGCTGAAAGTTAAAAGGGCCAGTGGTGAAACTCAGCAGCATACAGAGGCTGTTTAGTCCCTAGTTCTCTTGTCCATCTGTACGTGTGTGTACACACACAAGAAAAAAGAAAAGGTGGTCAGAGATTTCTGTAAGGATTTAAAATTTTCAGACCTATGCTCTGCAGTATTTTAAAGGAGCTTTGCTTTCTAACTCGCCTCCATTTGGTCTTTCCTTCTTCCTTCTGCCCTTCTTTCTTTCTGTCTGTCTTGTGGTGCTGAGTATTGAGTGCCCTAGGATCCTTGAGCATGCTAAGAAAGTGATGTACTGGTATATATGATTGTAACCTTCTTGCTTACATTTCTTAACTGTTGATTCTCTGATACACTCTGTTTTAATGTACTGCTTTCCTTTTATCAGGTTACTTAGTTTAGTCTGGATCATCCATTGGTCTTGATTATATTTTTTCTGTTATTGTTGTTTTTTGTTTTTTTTTGTTTATGTTGTGTTAGGAATTGAACCAGTGTATTCTGCACTGAGCTACATCTCTACCCATCTTTAAAAGTTTTTAATTTTTGAGGCAGCAGGGTCTAATTTGCCCAGACTGGGCTCACTTGTGATCTTCTTGCTTTAGCCTTCCACAGTGCTAGGGTAACAAGTATGTGCCATGTAATTTTACATTTTTGTCTTTGTTCTTGGTCTCTCTTTGTGCATAATCTCAGTTTCAGGTTTTATTTTCTGTTTAATACTTCATTGTTGGACTATGTAAATTGTCCTTATGAAAAATTTCGTGAGATAAGTTACTTAACACAATCATAATTTAAAATTCCTGTTTTTTCATCAGTGACATTCTTAGTCGATGACTTGCAAGAATGACTTGGGAACATAATATATTTTCAAAAGTGTAGTACAGACATGAGTATAAAGTAATTAAATCTATTTTTCTGAGTGCAGCTGGGAGGAAAGTTAACTTCTATGTTAGTGAAAACCAGGTTTATGATAGCACATTCCAGAATAATTTTGATTTAATATCTCGTCTTTAAACGTGAGTAGCTGACAGTATTGTTTACCATGATAACTCTCAAATAATATGAGTTATATTAAGATTTTTGAAGCAGTAGGTGAAATTAAGCTTCATTAACTGATTTTAAACTTTTTTTAGGTAAATGAATTGGTGGATGCCAGAGATGTCGGCCTTGGTGCTTGGTTTGAAGCACATATACATAGTGTTACTAGAGCTTCTGATGGACATTCACGTGGCAAAACTCCAGTGAAGAATGGCAGTTCTTATAAAAGGACTAATGGAAATGTAAATCATAATTCCAAAGAGAACACAAATAAATTGGACAGTGCCCCCTCTACGTCTAATTCAGACTGTGTTCCTGCTGATGAAGACGTTATTTATCATATCGAGTATGATGAGTAAGTGCTCATGCTTGAGGACTTCATGTTTTTATTTTAGAAACACAGCCAAGCTTTTCAAGATTACTTTAGTCTTTTCTGAAGAAATCAATTAGAAATCATGTTCAATCTATTACTTTTTATTTGTTTGTTTTGGTGAGTTGTCTGATGAATGAGGACCCTTTACTGTTCAATCATCTTTGGCTTTTAAGTGGTTTGCACTTAGACCATTCTAATAGCTGGCTTAATGCTGTCCAGAGTTTTGTCTCTTTAGTAAGAATTTTTGATACATAGTTTAGCAATATTTTAAAAATATTTTATAACATAACAAAATCACTATTAGAATGAGACAAATATTTTAGGCAACTTTTTAGGATAATTTACATATAATTACCCATTTGAAGGGTGTAATTAAATGTAACATATTTACAGAACTATGTAATTCATATTTCCAGGATATATGGAAAGGGTCAAAAGTAAATCTCTTCCAATATTTATTTACTGATACTTTTGATTGCAGTTAACCTACTAACGTCACTTATTTTAAATGAGCCATAATATTGCTCTTTAATCCTAATAGATTATAATAGAACCCATAGGGAGTCTTTAAGTACAGGATTGTCCAGGACTGCAATACTGATGAATTGGGACTGGTCTAAAAAGGATCTGGAGTTAGATTTGTTGGTAATAAGCAGTGTTTGGATTTATAAATTCCATGGTATAGTATATGCAGATTACTATGGTGGTGGGAGATTCTCTGTTAACAAGTAAGTGAGTAAATGTTTAAGTTCTTTATTGAGTTATATCCTGGTGAACTGAAGAAATAACTAGGAAAACTACCACCTGGCACCTCATTCTATCCAGCTGTTTCCTAGCACTTCAGGAGGCTGAGATAGGGGGATCGTGTTGGAACCCAGCCTGGGCAACTTATCTGGGCAGTTTAGTGAAATGTTATTTCAAAATACTGATGATGAGGATGATGATGATGATAGGGGCTGGGGATTTAACTCAGTGGCACAAGTGCCTGCCTAGCAAGTACGAGATCGTGAGTTCGATCCCTGGTCCAAAAAAAAAGATGATGGAACTACAGATGTATCTCAGTGTGAAGCCCTTGGATTCAGTCCTAGTATTGGGAGAAAAGGTTCTTTGGCAAAAAATAATGATAAAAAAAGAAATAGGTTATAAAGGTGTAAATATGGACAAACCAAGGTTTATTAAATTTATCGTTTTAGAGGCTCTTACAGATAGTTTGGGAATAAGACTGTCCAAGGGATAGGTGCAATACTTGAGTTTGGTGTAATATTACAGTTTAAATAAAGTACCATGTTGGTGGTATAGTGGTGAGCATAGCTGCCTTCCAAAATATAGTACCTTAGTATTATTTGGCAAATTTTGTTAATGAGGAAATTTGCTTTGTTAACAAAGAATGGTAGTAAAGGAGAATATAAATCTAACATACATAAGAAGACTAAAGTTATCTGCTCTAAAGAATTTTAAATGATGAAAATAAATGTGTTAGTGCTAATAACTTAAACAATGATAGGTAAACTTTGAGAAAAAGCAGAGGCTTAGTGGTAGGTGAATTTTAGTCACATCTTTAAGAAGAGAAAAGAACTATAAAATACAGTGAAAGACATGGAAAATAGTCATGCTTCTGGATAAAGGTCTTAGAAAATAAAATTGTAATGACCTGATACAGATGTGGTAATGGTTCCTTTTAAAGTTTTATTCTTCATGATCATTAGAAAAACGAATTTAGGAGCGTAATAAAATAACCTCTTGATTTCAGTAAAACATCAAACAAGTTCTTGTTCGAATACATTGAAGAGACCTGGAGGATGTGGCCTTGCAGCAGTAATGAACAAATCTAAAAACATTAAAAAGAAAAAAGGAAAGGAAGAGCTGTACTGTATTACCTAGGTTGATCACACAGCTCTGCAGTGCTCCTGTCTCTGTCTCCCAGATAGCTGGGTTTATAGACCTGCACCACTGTACACAGATATAATAAATATTTTTTGTTTTTATGCCAGGAACTGAACTCTGGGTGTCACTTGCTAGGCAGGCGCATGTGCCACTGAGCTGTATCCCCAGCCTAAAAAATATTTTTTATGCATGGTAAGCTTTAAATGAGTAAACAAAATGTGGCTGCCAAATAGGTGATATAGTTGTACTGAATCAGCTGTTCACTGTTTGGATTAGTATCCTGTAGCTCTATCTTTGAAAAGGGATGCCAACAAGACCTGATTGCATGCTCAAGGTAGTTCTCAAAATGTACACATTTAAAACCGTAATGAAGAGTAATTAAAACAACTAAATATTGTGCTTGAAAGACTTGGTTCAGATCTTGCCCTCCCTGTTTTTTGTACTCTGGATGGAACTAAGGGCTTTCTCATTGAGCTAATAAACCCTTTTTTATTTTGAGGTAGACTCTCAATAAGTCACTAAATTTCCCAGACTAGGTTCAAACTTGGAATCCTCCTGCTGGGATTATAATTGTATGCCATCATGCTCAGCTAATATCTCTTATATTGTAAATACTGGAACTAGAAGGCTTGTACAACATAGTGGTAAGTTTTAGAATAATTTTAAGTTTCTGTCAGTTTAGTCCCCCAAGAGAATGGGTCATCCATGGTGGTGCATGCCTATAACTGTAGCACTTGGGGGGATAAAGCAGGAGGATCACTACATGTTGGATGTCATCCAGCGCCACATAGTGAGTTCAGTGCTACGTTGCACTACATTGGGAGAGCCTGCCTCAAAGCAAAACAAAATTACAGAGAAATGGTTTGCAATAGGAAGTATGTAGTAAAGCATTGGCTATCTTCTGCCATACAGTGGAAGATTTAGTAGAGATGATGATGCACTGTTAAGAGAATTTACAAAGTTTCTGATTGTATTCAATACCTTTATCTTCAGTATACATTTTACTTCCAGGATACTTTCTCAGTCATTTTTTTGCACTTTAAGTAGTCTTTGTACTAGCCATCCTAATCTTGTGATACTTAGTACCATAGTTCCCTCAGTGAACTAATTTAATTCTCCTACTGCAGTAAGTTGAAAGCAAACTGCTTATTGGGCAAACCTGTACATGAGCATCTTGAAACCTCAGAGTACAGCAGTGTAGCTTGAACAAGTTGTCATTTACCAAAGGTGAAGGAAGTGTATACTACATGGGATCAAGGAATCTGTATCTGTAATTCTTAGAGGATTTTCAGTGTTTGTCAGTTTTAATTGGAGCTGTTAAAAATGCTATTTTTATGTATTTAATTTTTTTAGTTGGGGTGTTTGTTACGCAGGCTAATCTCCTGAGTGTGTGGATTACAGGCTCACATTGCTATGCTTGGTCAAAAACTATTTTCATTATAAATTACACATGCAGTCTATTACCAGACCAGACTAGATGAAATCTCTTGTTTTTGAAGTACACTTCATTAAACCAAAACTGCTTGTAGAATTGGGTCAAAATAAACAGGTATTCTCTTGCGTCTTTATTGTCTACATGATATCTAAGCCTGTGTCTGGTTTTTCTTAATATTATAGTTCCAAATGCATATATTTTCCTACGTACTCAAATTTATCCTTCATTGTAGCAGAGTAGTATTCCATTGTGTGTAAACACCACATTTTCTTTATCAATTCACATGTTACCAGACATATAGGCTGCTTCCTAGATTTAGCTACTGTGAATTGTGCTGCTAAGTCTGTTTCCAAAGTACGCCCTATAGGGCACACATAACTTTAATGAGGAGAAGTATGTGCTTCCCTAGCCCACTGAAGCTGAGACTGCCTGAAAGAATACTCCTTCAGGGCTGCTTTGTACAAGAAACAAAAGTGGGGAGTAAGAAAGAGGCAAACATTGAGGAAAGTACAGGCAGTTATAAAGTCATTAAGTGGTCAGTAAAAGAATACTAAATTTTCCCTTATTTCATTTTTTAAGATTATACAATTCACTTTTATAGAGCTTTTATTCCCATTAATTTTTTGTTAAATTATTAGAAGTTACAATCTACATTTTAAAGAACCCATTAATAAACTGACAATGCTATAATTGTAGTTCTGAAAACATGGAAGCTCTGGAGCTCCTGATGAAGTGTCATAATGTTGATTGAAGGGGAGGTGGTAGTTTTGAAGGGCAATTACTTAATGTTTCTAATAGGTAATGTCTGTGGCATAGCTTATAGTGCTTCAGATAATAAGTTTGTGCCAGGCTCTGAACTAACTTCCTACATGAATACCCGTATAATTTTTACAGTGACTATATTAATTCTATTAACTTAAGAGGAAACCAAGGCTTAATAACTTGCCAAGGGCCTAAGAGCTAACTAAAAATACAGTATTGTCAGTCAGCCCAAACAGCCCAACAGCCCAAAGATTTAATTTGTAGTACCTCTATTACCTTCAAAGATAAGCCATTAAAATAAAGATGGCATAAAGACTTCCTTTATATTTACATGTGATCTAAAGCACAAAGTATACTTACACCATCTCTTGAGTCAGACCATAGGTATGTCAACAGCAGAGGTCAGCCTATTAAATTTTGTCTGCTAAAATTTGTATCCTGCCTTTGTATAAAAAATTCTGTCTTCAGTGGATTTTGTATAGATTCTGTTTAGTTACTAAGACTGGTGGTTTTTAGTCATGGCTACAGTTGTCTAGAAAGTTTTAAAATATGAGAGCTTTTAGTATAGCTCTAAAGGACCTCATAGGCCAGTGATGGCAAACCTTTTGAAGATTTCAGTTATAGCACCTGGCTATAGCACCTGGCTATAGGTCTGCCATCACTGTCATAGGTATTAGTGTTTTCAAAAGTTGTTATTCCATGAGTCTTATGTTCAGTTGTGGTTGAAAAATATGGCATTAGACCAGTGATTCTCAAAGTATCTCTTAGACTAGTAACGTGGGCATCACTTGTTAAAAATATAAACTCCTGGGGGCTGGGGGTTTAGCTCAGCAGCATAAGTGCCTGCCTTGAAAGCAGGCAGTTGTAAGTTTGATCTCCGGTACCGATAAAAAGGAAAAAG